AAAAAACATGTACGTAAACAAGATAATTCTAAACAACGTACTCATAGTGGAACTTTCATACACTCAAATGAAAGAAAACGAACAAATAAAATTGATTTAATTAAAGAACGAGATCAACAAAAATCGAAATCAGCATCTGATGATGAACAATTACAACATATTTATCGTGTACCACCATTAAAAATTGTTTTAGCAAGAGCTGTTTTACAAAAAACATCAGATACGGAAAGGTAATACTTACAAAGAAAAATACCAGATGATGAAAGAACAAGGATAAACATTTCATATACGTCATAAATACTCGATAAACTGTCAAGAATAACCAATAATTACTCAGTCGGAAAAAAAACTTCGGGTACTCAGCAGAAGGAGAGGAAGAGAAAAAAGAAAGATAAAGATATGTCTATAATGGAGATTGACATTTATGAATATCTTTCAATGTTCGAGAGTTATATTGATCAAGGTACGACCATATACATCTAGAAAGATATTTACTAAGCTACTTATAATAAGGGAAAGCATTAACATTATCCATTATATTCATAATAATATCGCTATAAAATTCAGTAACTATACTCTATTTTAAAATCTGAATTGACTATTGACATAGAGAATTACTCGCTAACTTCACGTATGAGTACCTAATCGTGTTCAACTCGAGAAAACTTTAGTAGGATTCTTCGTTTAATTCAGTTAAGAGTAATCGATAGTAAGTATTCATTGAAATTTAGAATTTCAAGTATTCTCATTAGATTATTGATCTAAATTCTTCATAGAGTAGAAAACTAATTTCTGTTTATTGCAATCTTAATGATATAAATACGAATCGATTTTCTATTCGAATAGAAATAGTTCTAGTAAATTTTTATTGAATAACTAAAAGATAAATTTAATATTAATAAATTCCTCTGGGATATTATCTTAAGTGAAATAACTGACATCTTTCATTTTCCTTTCAACTATAATTGATTTAACTTATTATTAGAGTGAATTATGTAATTAATCTATTCAACATCGTTTTTCTTTTTTAATATTCATATGTATTTTCTTAGAAAAATAATTATACTATACGTTAGTGTCGATCAAAAGCTATTCTTAAGAATTGAAATGAAATAAATTTGTTCAATATATATCCTTATTTCTTTCGAACCTTATCAATATTTCAATTTTTATTGTAAAAATTTCTAATAAATAATTTTATAGTCGTTTAGTTTCATTTAACAACTATTAATTATTGCCCGTTAATTATTTTTTCATTAGTTCACTGTATATTTTGACATTGAAATCTAAAATAGTATGTCAAAAATAAACATCGTTGATTTTAGATGAGTATTACGCGCCCAGGGGGAACATATATAGGGAGAAAGACCGAGAGAGAGAGAAATTGTGTCAAGTAAGAAGAAAAAAGAAAGGAAAAAAGAAAATGAGGGCATGCAAAATACACAGAGAGAAAAATGTGTGCGTATATGTTCGACATCGAGACGGTAGTAGCGAGTGTCAGTGTAAGATAGATATTATTATGGAAGAAATCACGCACAAGAAAAGATTGTAAGAATCGCCGATTAGTAGATATCCTATATCAACAATAATACTGACAGATGGTCAAACTTATCTCTTTTTCTTTTTCCTATGATTAAATAGATATTTCTTTGTTCATATAATATACTAACCTTGATATAAGTATAAGAAGTTCAGCTAATTGATTTGAACATAATGGCATTAATAGATAAAATAAAAACTTAGAACATCATTTTGATGATGAGTTTTTAATGTTCGTTTATTATTTAGTGATATAAACAATAGAGGGAAAAAAATGAGAAAAATAGGTACAATCGATAGAGACTGAAGACATATACATGAAAGAAAAGAATAAAAGTATATATACAGTCCAGCATACTGCGTATGTGTGCGTAAGAGCAAGAAAGCGAATTTCTTCGTCTCATTCTTCTTGTTCTTTATCCTTCATTTGTTCGACGCATACACATTGCACACACGGCAATAGAAAAAGAAATAGTCAGGTAAGACTATACTGAATAGGTAAATTGTCTCTTCAAGTACAAATAAAAAAAAACATTACATGAAAAATCCATCATATGAAATCATATAAACATAAACAAATCACTTTTACTCTTCTTTCTACGTTTTTTTTGTCTCTAGTTTAAATTCTTCTAATATGAATGATGACAATAATAATTTAACAATCGATTCATCATCACCATCATCATTAACAATACCAATAGTAGAACAAAATGAAAAATTATTATCATCAATGTCAACCAATATTCCTATTACATCTTCAGAAATCAATGACAAGGCTGTAACTCCGCCGCCAGAAGATAATGAAGAAAATGTTAATAACAATAATTCTTATAAACCATTCTTCGATGATGATAACGATAAACTTTCACCTCTTACACCACAATCTCAGTCTACTCAAACAATTATTTCAACTATTCTTGATGATATTATAGCTCAAATTGAATTAAATAATAATAATAATAATGATGATAATGATAATAATAACGATAATAATGACAATAATGAATTAAATTCTTTACCTGTTATTGAAGATGATCAAATGGATGTCGACGATGATGAAGATGATGATGATGACAATGAAGAAGGAGAAGAAGAAGAAGAACATGAATATACTGAAAAAAATTCGTCAATTAAATTACATAAAACTGAAAAAGAACGATCAACAACAAGAACTCACTCAAGTAAAACTGATTTAAAACCAACAACACGAACATTACGTTCACATGCTCGTGGAAAACGTACTTCATCAACATTAATTCAAACATCATCTACAACAAATAATAATGTTCGACGTGTATCTAGTCGAAGAAGAGCTTTAGATAAAAAAATCTTATTAGCTGCTAATGAGAAAGAAAAAAAACGTCGATCGATTTCTGAGCGTTCAAAAAAAGATAAAGATAATCCAACAACAAATGATGATAATCATACATCAAGTAATTCAGATGATCAAACTTTAGAAAGTACAAATGGTATGATTATTTTGTTTTTCAGAAAATCAAATCAATTGATTTGTCTTTTTTTTTCTAGTTGATAAAACATCTAATACAACTACAGCAAATCCAAATGATGAAGTTAGTTCATGTTCAAGTATAGGTGCTGGTGATGAAAGTAGCACAAGTAGTTCAACAACAAATGTCAAACAATCAAATACAGCTACTGATATTGATTCATTACCACCTAATAAACGTCGATTGCGTGAAAGAAATGTCGGAATATCAAATACATCTATACCATCATTAACAACTGATGCATCTACTAATTCAAATTCAACATCAGCTACAGATAATTCATCAGGAGAAACAGCGCCAACACGTGAAATACCTATTAATAGTATTAAACAATTTCTAGAAATACGACAACAGGTTAGAATTTTCATATAAAATATCTGTTAATTACCCATAAATATAAGAAATCCTAAAAAAAAAGCTTATTGATTAGTGACACTTTTTTATTCTTCTTAAATAATATCAATTTGACAACAAGTTGTACTTAAATTTTATTAATTCTATCTAATACTGTAGTTGATAGAGGCAAAGAAAAGAAAAATCTCGAGTAATCTATTATACTTATTCCCATATGATATACAAATCTATGACATATTTTAATAGACTAACATTCATTAATCAATAAGACTTATCTAAATTACTTTTTGCTTTTCTCCAATTGTTCTTTCCATTTGAATAAAGAAATCTATTCATAAGTTATTAAAAGAGCTAAAATGCTTTTATTTCTTTTTTCCTGTTCATAATCAATCGCCTGAAGCAGCACTTATCGAAAGAAAAACAGTTGTTACTCTCTAGTTCACACGATAGAATAAAAGAAGAGAGCTACCATCTGTTATTCTCAATGTAATCTTCTAAAACTTAACTTTATCTTAAAGAATAATCCCTAATTATATTTAGATTGATAAACGTCATGAAACAATGTTAAAAGATTTTGTTACACCAAAAGTTCCAAAAGATTTTTCTGAAACAACAATGGCAAAAAAAAATTATCTTATTGCACCATCATTTAGTTCACATTCAATAACAACACCATCATCAATTGGTATAAAACGTTTATTAGCACCAAATGATCTTGATCTACATTTAGCAGAAGTATTTACTAAACAAGAAGATGAAAGATATAAAATGAAAATACGTCATCAAGTTGAAAGAGTAAATATTCAATAAAATTTAAATAAAAAAATAATTATTTTTTTTTAATTTATCATAGGATAAATTAATTTTATCTCATGAACAAGAAGTTTTACGTTTATATGGAAATGCTACACGTTCATCAGTAAATCAAGATATACCATTTAGTTATTGTTCATTATTAAAAGATAATGAAGTTTATAATAATCCATCTATACAATTACCAGAAAAATTATTAAATAATGATTATACAAATACAGAATTAGGTAAACGTGGTAAAAATCGTTGGAACGGACGTTTATTTATCAAATGGCTTGAAGATTCTAATCTGAAATACAAACGTCTTAGTGTAAAATTATTGAATAAGAAAAAGAAATTTTTATTTGATTGTTTTTATTTTAGTGTGAACTTAATGAACGACAACAACTTGAAGTTAATACACTTCATTCAATGCAACGTATGGTTTGGTGTAAACATTTACCAAAAGACGCAGCTAGTTCATCATCTACACGACCAAGTCATCTTTTAAGTGTACGTTATTTACCTAAAGTTGAAATAAATACTAATTTTTGGACGAATTGGGAAACAAGTCCATTTTAATAGTTTTTCTTGTTTATTTTGTATATATATAAATATATATAAATGTATACAACTATCTTTGACAAATTTATTTCTATCTTTGTGTGTTTTCTTTTTTTTTTCTTCGCTTTGTGATATTTGTGTATAATTTGTATGTGTATATCAGAAATTTTTTTTTTCTTCTTTCGATGCTGTTTTTTTTATGACAATTGAAAAAAATATATGATCGTTATTACGAGATATAAAAAATAAAAATTTCTAGATTTGGAATAGAATGGAAAGATGTTTTGTTTATATAATTATTGTTTAAATAGCAAAACGAAGGTCATGATAAGTAGTATCTATTTTCATTGTTTATTTTATAACTTGAGAACGAAAAAAGTTTATATATAAGTCAAGCAAAACGTTTTTTTTTTATTATGAAATTTTATATATTTGTAATAGTAGTATTTTATCTTTGAGAATGACAGACGGATATGTAATGTCAGATACAATAACAATAATGTCTAGACCAATCTGACCTATGCGAGAATATAGCAGAACTGCTGTTATCCGACAGAAAAGAATTAATGGATATCGGAAAAAAAGATAATTATATTGTATTACGACTAATGAAAATTTTGTTATTCAATTCATTTATCGTGATAATCGAAAAGACAAATTTATTTTCACTTGTTTTATTTGTAATGCATGTTTAAAAAAATAAAATAGTTCTATGAAGGAATGACTTTTAATTTTTTTAATCGATCAAAACATTGTGCATAACCATCGAACGTATCTACTATAGTTGTCCAACCAAATTCACGAGCTTTAGTTAAATTACCATATCTATCGAGTGGTGATCTTAAAGAACCATCTGAAAATATAAAATAAGTATATAAATTATGTAAAAAATTAATCTTCTTCATACCGGCAAATGCCCATGTAGCATAATCGAAGGCTTTTTCATCAAGATTTTCTCTTTGAGCAATACGAATCCAAACATCTTTATGTTTTGGCATATATTCGGCTAATTTTAATTGAGCTTCATTTTCATTCAATTTCTGTTCACAATGTGGAATACCAAAATAACTATTAATAGAAAAAACGAGCATTTTATCTAACAAGGAATAGACTATTAATTTTTTATTTACTTTTCAATTTTTGACCATAAATCTCGAAATGTAACAAGATCTCCATTAGCAATATTAAATATTTCGTGTTGAATATTTTCATTTAATACACTCCATAATTGAAAACGAGCATTATTTGAAGCTGTTGAATGATCTGATATTCTATTCCATGATTTTAAATTTCCAGGAAATAATAATGGTTGACCAAGTTCTTTTTGTATTGTTGCATATAATGCAATTGTTACTGCGAAATTCATAAAATTTCCTAATTTTAATTATAAAAATAAATGCAACTAAAACTTTCAAATTTAAATCAAATAACCTTTAGCAACACCGATAATCGTTGCTGGTCGAGTAATTATATATCTCCAATTATGTTTTTTCGCATAATCTTCTAAAAGATCTTCTTGTGTAAAATAAAAATTTGTACCCTGATGACGAGGAGCATTTTCAATGAATGGTAATGCAGCTAAATCTTCTTTAGTTTTATGTACACCATAATACTAAATAATAAAATTATATAAAAATCAAAATTTATTTTATTTACTTTATATCCTGTTTGTAATGAAAATGATTTTATTGTTTTTCCAGCAATTTTCACACAAGCATCTAAAGCTTTTTCTAAAACAATTTTATTAACTTGATCTAATTCATCTTCAGTCGATTTTTCAATATATGTATAATGAAAAATATCTGTTATCATTTTTCCATTCACTTTTTCTAATTCATTAACAATTTCATCAACAGTAGAATTAAGAATATCAATAGAAATAAAACTGATACGTTTATCATTTATATCTAATTGAAATGGTCGTCGAGATATGCAAATAATATGATTCCATTCATTCGAAGATTGTTCGATCAAGAGATCAATCATCGCTGTACCTGATATTCCATTCGCACCCCAAATAGCTGCTACACGTGGTGATAACGAAGAAGAAGAAGACATGTTGTCCAGAGGTTATGGTTAAAATAGAGAAAAAAACAAAGAATGAAATATATATTACTATGCAAGTAATCGTTCTTCTTTCTATGAAATCCTATGATAACATTTGAAATTAACAAGAATGTTTAAACTAAAGATAAAGAATATTTTACGTTGATACACAATATTATCGTTCTATTCTTCTTTGTAAACATGCAAGGAAAATAATTTTTCTTCACATGACATAATAATAAGAATTAAAATTGTAATTATAGACGATTAATTCCTACATTCTTTTTCTATTTTCTAATATGAAATAAACATATGTATACATAATATAAAAAAAGTGATCTTCACTAATTGTAAACTCTTATATTGGTAAATATTTTATTTCTTTCGGATATAAATGAGAATTCAAACTATCATAAAAATAATCTTTTTTTTCTCTTTCAATCAAGAATAATTTTAGTCTTTTTATTGATTTATAATCGATTGACAGACAGAATTATTAATTTGATCGTTATTATAAAATAATCATAGTAAATAGCAAGAAATAAAGAACTAACAAACATTTTTCATTTGAATTAACATCACGTTATATATATATATACTGTAATGTAGTGACATTGTCATTAAACTTTTCTATGTATTCATGTTCTTTTCCCTTTTCTTTTATATGGCATATTATCTGAGCATTACTGGTGTGTATATACATCTTCATTTCCTTTCTCTCGCTTTGCTTAGCTGAAATAAACTATTATTTCATCTTACATCAAGTATAATTGAAAAATACAAAATTAATCGTAGTTTTCTTTTGTTTTGAGTAGTAAATCCAATGTATGTATGTAAAATTGTTTTACTTAAATAAGAAAATATGTCATATTTCTGTTCCCAAGAATTTAGATAATTTAACAGGTATAGTACTATATATTATTTTGAGAATTGATTCAAAAGTTTGTTTTTCTCGTTCTGTATGATTAAAATTGTTTAGTTGTACTTTTAGGAAGTTTTATTCGATATATCGTGAATTATAGATATGCATAATTAATATTGATTTGAATAATAATTGAGTTTTTTATTGCACTAATTATACACCAGGGATTTGTCAAATAGAGATCACATTCCATCACTAATGTTAATGTTGTCCTCCAATATTATGGTAAACTTCTTTTTATACGAATGCATATTAGATAGAGAAGAATATAAATTTATGTCTTATTACTATTCTCATATATTTAAGGAGTTAATCTTCTATAAATATCTCTTAAATGTACGGTATCATATTTATAATAAAAATGATCATTTCTTCTTTTGCTTAGAAGAAACATTCTACAGGTGTATAGCGTAATTTCTGTCTACAATCAATATGTCAAATAAAAAGAGTAACGATTAAGTCTGTTAATAATCATAAATTAATAGTAAAATTCGAGACATATAAGAAAATACCGATAAAAGTAATTTTTATTCGATACTACTTGTCATCAAAAAAGAAATATCAATTGATCTTCAGAATATTAGATTACTCATTTTAAATACGTAAGACAATATCGTTTAACAATAAAGAAATATTCAGTATACATTATCAGTATGTCCTTAGAGAAAAATTTGAATATAATTATTAATACATTATTCACTACGATTAACTTGTTTTACCCAAGAGCAATTGACACCAGTCAATCATTTTTTTCTACATAGAGAACGATTAAATTCAAAAAAGAAAATTTCTTACTTTTTTTTTGCTGTTCTAAGGACATGTAAAACCTATTCCTATGAATAAATAACTTCTATTAAATGATTATTCTTGATGCATGAGAAAACACATGTATATATAATATAACTAACATAAATGAATTTTATTATTTTTAGAAAGAAAACTTAATGTATCGATATTTAATCCATTTATGTTATAGAACTTTCTTAGGATTAAGATCGTTCATGAGAAAAATAACATATAATGTATACATATCTGCAAATTGGAAATATCGATTATTTATAATGTATTTTATTTTAATTAGTTTTTCAACTGTAATACTTAGTTACAACCAACCTAGTAGTCCTGTTAGTTTTCATTCATTATTTAACTCTTCTACAATTGATAAAGAAATTATTCAGGTTAATTTTAAAAGATTTATACTAGACAATTAAAAAATGTATATATATATTTTTTGTAGTGTCATTTTCCACAATTATTATTAAATACTGGTAATTTATATATGAATATTGAAAAAATTCCACAACCAACATGTCAATCATGGTTTTATCCTGTTATAATAGATAATTATAATATACGACTTATTCTTTCATATCTTAATTGCACAGTTATATTTTATTATGGTCAAGGTGATAAACGATATCAACAAATTCCAATAGTATTAATATATAATTCTAGTATACCATTATTAAGTGATCATTTTACTATACAATGTCAAGATATAATTAAAAAAAAATTTTATCCAATATTACCGTATACATCAATACATTATAATCGAGATATTCGTGAAAGACTTACAAATGTTGAGAAAGAAAACGATGAAGATTTTAATGTACTTATTTTAGGCTTTGATAGTATATCTAGATTACAATTTCAACGAATGTTACCAGAAACATTTGATTATATAACTAAACAATTAGATGCAATTATTCTTAAAGGTTTGTTGATATATATTCGTCCATTTCGGATCTAAATGATTAGTATACTCTACATATTTCTCTGATAAATATTTGATATTTATGAACTATTCTTTCTACTTTACTAGGTTATAATATATTAGGTGACGGTACACCACAACAATTAATTCCCATGTTAACTGGTTTCAAGGAAATTGAACTTCCTTCAACATTAAAACGTGATAAAAATAGTTCATTTGTTGATATATATCCATTTATTTGGAATAAATATCGTCAGAATGGTTATGTTACAGGTTATGCTGAAGATCGTGTTGAATATGGTATATGGACATTTCGTTTAAGAGGTTTTAATAAAACTCCAACTGATCATTATTTAGTACCATTTTATCAAATGAAATCAGCACGATCATTATTATACAAACGTGATACACTTTGTATACGTAATCAAACAACACTTGATTTCTTTCTTTCATATATTGATCAATTTTGGTCGTCGTATTCTGAACATAAAAAATTCTTTTTCGGATTTTTTAAACAATATACACATGATAGTTACGCAGCCGCTTCATTACTTGATTTATCATTATTGAAATTTCTAAAAAAATTTAATCAAACAAATGATTCTAAAAACACCATTATTATACTTATGACTGATCATGGTGCACGTTTTTCAAAAATTCGACAAACACCACAAGGTAAACTTGAAGAACGTTTACCATTTATGAGTTTTATTTTTCCTAAATTATTTCAAAATAAATATCCTGAAGCTATTAAAAATTTACAAAAAAATATTCATCGTTTAACAACACCATTTGATATTCATTCAACTTTATTATCATTAACTGACATGAATCAACTAAATTATAGACTTAATAATAATGTTAAACAACGTAATATATCTTTATTTCATTTAATACCTAGTGAAAGAACATGCGATGATCTTAATCTTGAACCACATTGGTGTTCATGTTTACAATGGAATAATATTACTATAGATGATATAAAAATAAAACAAGCAACAAGATTTATAATTAATTATATAAATAAACAATTGTCAGTAGTTGATAATCAACTATGTCATCAATTACAACTTCATTCGATTCATAATGCACAAATATATCGACCTAATCAAGCACTTTTAAGATTTTCAAAATCATCTGATATTGATGGTAGAATACCAAAATATGATGATAAACATCTTAATATAACATTCTATCAAATAACATTTGAAACAAAACCAAATAATGCAATATATGAAGCAACAACACAATATTCAACTCGATCAAGTGGTTTTAATATGGATCTTAATCATATTAGTCGTCTTAATGCATATAAATCATCTGCATCATGTATCGAAACAAGTTATTCACATCTAAGAAAATTTTGTTATTGTATTAAATAAATAAATTTTGTTTTTATTGATATTTATTGTTTCATATATTATTTCTATTAGTCAGATAGAAAAAATGTTAATATTTTATTGTTAAAATTTAATTATATAAAAAGAAAAAATTGTTAAAATAAATAGTTTTGTATTTAAAAAATCCTGTTCACCGGAACTAGTAGTTGGTTGTGCTGTCGTTGTTGTTGTGACTCCTGGACCTCCTGTTGCTGTTGTTGTTGTGACTCCTGGACCTCGTGTTGTTGTTGTTGTGACCGCTGGACCTCCTGTTGTTGTTGTTGTTGTGACTCCTGGACCACCTGTTGTTGTCGATGAACTACTACCCGATGGCGATACTGAGCTTGTAGATGTAGATGTTGTACTAGTAGTATTAATATTAGCTAAACAGCTGAGATCAGGATCAACTCCTATCGCATCTTTAAGTTGTTTGAAAGTTGAAATAGTATTACAATTATCACTAAGACACGTAGCTTCCATTTGATAAACAACAGTCTTTTCTGAATTAATATAATACATAAGGGTCATATCCACTTGAGCTGGTACTCTTGAAAGAATACAACCACTACTAAAACGCCATCCACCTGATTGACGTGTAGCAACAAAATTACAAGAATACTGAGGACAATTTGTTGGTTGACACTTGGACATATCTGTATCAAGAAGGTTCTCAGTAAGATTTAAATTGTTGCAGGCATAACAAGTATTAATAAGGTCACCAGTAAGCAATCGTGTAAGTGTTTCATCTGTTATTCGTGCATTCAAAGCATTTGGTAAACTATTAACATTTTGTGGATTATTACAACCTCTATATATACATACAATAGATAGAATTCATATTTCGACGAATCACAATATACTTACGATGTATTGCATCCATAAGTAATTGGTCCATATTCCCAATCCCAACCTACAGCTACAGATGGATTTTGATATACTGCTTCTTCACCATAAAGAAAATATTTCTCTTCAGCATCTGATAAAACAGGTTCTTGACTAATATGTCCAGCGCGAACTGATCCTTCAAAACCAGATTCTAATGGAATATTGCGTGTAAGTAGACATGCTGTACTATTCGCTCGATCTGTTTGTGAACATGATGGTAAACAAATGTTGTTTCCAGGAAATGTTGATACACATTCAAAACATACTAAAGTTAGAACTGGTTGATTGAAATAAACAATCAGTAGTGTTAAACTACAGTAAAGCTTCAGTATATTGCGTCTACTAAACATGATTTTCAAATAATGAATGTAATAGAATGAATGAAAGACATTTTATTAATATAGAATGATCATAAAATCGAATGTATGCAAATTGTATGATAGCTATATACTTTTATCAGTAACTCAAAGGATCTCTAATAAAACAATAATATATTCAGCAGAGAATATTATCAACACTTGAAAGTAACTGGATTTTCATTTTGCAATACATAAAGCGTCAAACGAAAAATATTCGTACTTACCTTTTACTTTTCATCTTTATCATGGCTATTTTATTTGCAACTAGCAGTAAAAGAATTTTTCAAAATCATGTCTATCTTGAATTTTATATGTCATTCAACGAGATTAGTATTATTACATATAATATTCTTACTTTTATTTTCCAATTTCATCCAAATCGTATTAGTAACTTTTAAATACATCTTTGTTTATCAGTTTATGATATTATCATACACGATCAGTAGAAAAAGTTCGAAATTAAGTTCAAATGATTAGCTGCCATCAGGTTTTATGCGTGAACCATACGAAGATCAATATGAATGTAGTAAAATTTGTTTTTTATATTGAAAAGTTTCTGCTTTTTCAGTTCTTTGCGTAGATTTCTAATGAAATCAAAATGTCCCATCGGATACATGTTGTAATAAAAATTGAAGATGAAACAAAAAATTACATTTCAATGAATAAGTGTGAAATAGAATTGGATTAGACATTATAAACTTAGTCAGAAATAACTTTTTAGTATGCTGTTAACAAGAGAAATCGACAATACTTTAACCTCTTTATTGAATGAACATAATTATAACTGATAAAAGTCATAAGGATTTTCTACCATACATACTTTTCTATTTCCGAAGACCTAATGATTTGAATTTTATGCTAAATAACCTATAAAAGATAAACTGATTCTTGAAAGATTGTAAGTATTCAGTTTACGTATCTCTTGGTAGGTTATAAACGTCATCCAGAAATGAATTTCAGGAAAGATTTGGAAACAATTTTTAAAGTGTATCAATCAATTTCTAAAAGAAAGTTTATCTTTCTATAAATTGATGCCAACATCTATACTTAACTATCTTTTTATATCACTTTTATGCTTATGTTAGATTATTTGTGAGATTGAGATTGGAAGTTTAGACTTTGTTAGTTCACAACTACATATATTTCTTTATTTATATGTTGTCTTTTAGATGAATTATTTGGTCAAATATCACTTTCTTTTCAGTCCATCTGTGAAACATATCTATTCTATTTATGATATTCATTTTCTTTTGTAATACACTTTCCTTCTTTTCTCTCGTTTGAAGATTATTTTTATCCTAATTACAACCTAAAAGAATTCTTTCGAAGAAAATAACGAGCTTTCGCTATTAAATTTGTCTTTAGTTACTCGGAAATCATTGAAACAATATTATCGGAGTTTTTCTCGAATTTTAGTCTTGAATATGATATATATCAACGAATTGAATGTCGTATTTTCGAGATGTTGAAGTTTCAAAAATTGTTCATACCGCACCAAAAATGCTAGAGTGTGTGTATGAATGGATATATATTTATTGCCCAGAGCATACAACTATCTAAGTGCATTTTATTAAGCCACATCAAATAGTGGTAATTTGCTACAGGGAAGTATCTACATAGGATTAGAAAAGCTTTCTATATACATATACAATTACTGATGAAGCTGTGCAACTACGACATCCATAAAAAAGTATATGATAATAAATCTTGAAAGTCAAAGTGGATCCGTAATGTTTAAACTTTCTGACAATCATATAATTTATGTTTTCTTTTGTCATCTATCAATTTTATAACTCAATGAACATATGTTTTAGTTGTTTCTACAATAATTCTTTTCATCGGAATATTTTGGAAGAATTCATTATCATAAATTGTAACATAAAAATATTTTCATATCAAAATTGATTTAATCTTCAAATGTAACTCAACTACATTCGAAGCAAAATATAGCAATAAATACCACAGCATATAGCTGGTATGAGAGTATGAGATAAACAGAACAGGAGAGAACTATTTTTGTCATCTTCTATGAGTCATGAAGTGTATCAACACTTATTTTTTTAAATTTTTTACAATATCTCAAATTTTATAAAAACAATTTTTTCTAAATCTTGTTTTGAAAAAAAGACATTTTACGTTTGTTTTCAATTATAGATGTCGCTTATGAATTCTTTTTTTGTCATTTTTTTTATTTAAAAAAACTAAAATCATGAAAAGTTCCATGAAAATAAATAAATAATTAATTAAACGAAGAAAATAAAGAGAAAATTTTTCTAAATAATTTTACTGGTAAAAAATCATTGAATTTATTTTCTGCAGAAAAACAAAGCCAGTTGCATATAGTTATATCAAGTAAAAAAAATCTGTTTCAGATACACATAAACATAATCAATTGACTTTTTTATATTATAGATCATGACGGGTTTTTCTAAGGTAGCCGTCTACCGACAAGATATGCCACCAAGAGGTGGTTATTCTCCAATACCTTGGGCACGAGTACCTTCACGTCGAATTCCTCTATGGCCATTTGTATCCCTTTGGTTTGCATCAAATATATTTGGATATTTCTATCATATGTCAGAGAAACGTGAATATTGGCGAAATGGTATATTAAAATTATCTATGATTTATTTTTCATTTGAATAATATCATTTTTTAGAAATGGAAATGGATGAAAGTCGTTCTTGTATTGAACCTGTATTATTAGCTGAACAAGATCGTATTGTTTTACGACAATATCGTGCTAATCGTGATGAAGAAACAAAATTAATGAAAGATGTACCTGATTGGGAAGTTGGTACATGGTTTGGAGAAAAAGTATTTAAATCTCGTACTTATTTTCCTGATCGACCACATGTACTCGATTATTATGGACTTGCTCGTCCATCAACACAACGATTGGATATTAATGCAAGTCAATGGCAAATCTAAGAAAACAAATAAAACTTTCTTTCCTATTTTACGATTTCTACCTTCAGTTTGGTTTTTTCCCTCCTTGTAGAATATATCGAAACTTTTTCGAGTTTTTTAGATTGATATTATATATCTAAATAGTCGTGTGTGTGCGGGCACATATTTCACGACATCAAACTAAGATTCAAATGGCATTATATATTATTTAATTTTTTATTTCAAATAAGAAAATTATTTTTTTTGTGTGTTATTATTATTATTATTATTGTTATTGTTTAAAACATGCAATCATCGACGAATAATCATTATATGCCAGAAGATTTTGATGATATATTTTATTATAATAATGATCAAGAAGATAAAAATTTACTGTTTAAATCACAATCAATTCTAAATGATGAAGAAGAGGAAGAAGAAATTGAAAACTGTTTTCGTGAAACAAAAAATGGTAACACATAATATTAATTAATAAGATTTTATCTTTTCTTTTATAGTTGTGAAAAGTGGTTTAGCTGGATTAGAAATCAAAGGAAATGTACGAACATTAAGCCCGGTTTTATTTTCTCAGACAAATACTCAGTATTTAGTTATGAGAAATAATGAATTAAAATATTTACCTGCAGGTAAATCGACTTCAACTTTCTATTACTACAATAAACTATATATTATATTTTAGAAATTAATAATTTAGTTAATCTTGTCTATTTGGATCTATCAAACAATCGACTGAAAACATTACCATCTCAGATTGGTTTGTTATCATTATTTTTCCTTTAGTCAGAAAACAATATATACTATATACAAATTTCTTTTCTCAAAGTTACAAGTTTCTTCACATAAACATTAGTTTATTGCCAGAAAAAAACCTTAGTACATCATTCAGATCGTCCTGATATAATAGAAAAAGTCTAGAAGATGTGAGATTTGACAATTGTCTTTATTTGAATTTTTAGATATATTATTAACAGTCTAGTATAGGGGTAGGACAGTTTGCAGGTCCAAGTTCAGATGAACTGGTCAAAAGAACTACCAGTTCAGTTCTTTTTAGAGAACTGTTGTGAAAACTATTTTTTCGTAAATAAAAACAAATTTGAAACAGAAAAGGTCTTTTGAAAGAACTGTTAATTCAGTTCAGTTCTTTTCTAAAGAACTATTAAAAAGTTCCTAAGAACGGAACAAATATAGAACTGTCCTACCTCTAGTCTAGTATAAAGGTAATAGCTAATTTCTGATAGTATAACAATATAAAAATTATTTTGTAAATTTAACTCATAGTAAAATTGGAATTGTTAATATTTTCATTTTTTTGCACGGCAACGTCATAGAAGAAACTAGACGAAGGGTGAGATTCCCGTTACGAGTACTATACAGTTTTAATACTATGTTCATACTTTGTGATTAAAGGATACCTAGCTCTTTACATTGCAGAAAGAATATTCAGTTTCTGTGAAGTGTCATTAGTAACCAGAGTGAAATTTATTGGAAATCTGAAGACATCATCAAGAATGTAGATAATATAATTAAATTCATACTTACACATAAATTGCTTTACTTTGATCGAAAAACTGATTTGTTTAACAATAATTCTCTAGCGGAAATGATTAATAAACGAGATATTTTTCTTTTTAGGAGATTTAATTCATTTGAAAAGACTTTATCTTGAATCAAATTATCTCAAAAATTTACCATATGAACTAGGCAAACTCAATCTTGAAGAACTTAGTAAAAAAAACAAAATTTCTTTTCTTTATCTTATAAAATCTTTTTCGAAAAGGTTTAAATAATAATCCACTTGGTGATTATATATTAAGTTTATTTGCTCGTCCGAATGGTACACGTGAAGTTATGAATTATTTACATGAAAAATGGAATTTAATTTGTTCTTACTCAAAAATGTCTTCCTATAATAAAGTAAAATTCTTTTAATAAATCTATTTGACATATTTTAATTTTCTACTAGATGTCATTAAATTGGAATAATATTGAAACAGATTCGAATAATGAATTAACATGATATGATTATTTTTCTTTCTCTTTTTATTTAAAAAATGGTGCTGCATTATCAAACACACACTGGGGTTATTATTATCTATTCATTTCTTTTAGCTTTCTGTTTTGAAAATACAAAAATATTGTAATGTGTGTTTTGAATTTTTGCTCAAAATCAAAGAAAAAAAAGCATTCGATACTACAAGATTTATGATGTTTTTCTTTCTTTTTAATATAATAATAATAAAAAAGAATTGAAAAATAACAATAATTCTTTATATTTTAGATTATTTTTCTTTTTTGTTTTCAATTATTCAATATTATTGTAGAAATTTAATTTTCTCTTTTCGGTATGTCAAAAATCATATATACATACAAGTAACGCTCGTCAGAGGACTCGCTTAGCTCTTTCTCGTAGAAATACATCCTCTTCACATTTAGTGGAAAAACAATTGAAAACTGTGAAAAATAGATTTTCGATGTTTTTTTGACCTATGCACCCTCTTCACCCGTCCCCTTCATCATGATACCCAAACAGACGTCAGAATCGAAGTCCCAGCATCGAAATAGCTCTAGAAATGTCTTTTCCAGAAAATGGGATGTCGATGTTTTTTTGACCCTGCGGACGTACAAGCAAGCAATCAGACAATATATGTTTACTGGACTCTTCTCTAAGAGAAAGAGGATAAGATGAATGATGCTATTCTTCTGAAGATCTTACAGGACATTTTTTTCTATTATGAGATTCTAATATTTAAAATATTGAAACAGATAAAATGACTTATACATAACGAAATATCATGTCGTTTCTTAATTTTATCATTACACAAGAATGTCATCAATATATGATTGTATCAAATTTTATCTCTTGCTATATCAGATGATTTAAGCTTGGATATAGATTTGCCCGGTCACCACGACATTTAAAAGTATTAGCTGTAGAAAGCCAGCATACAGATAACTATGATGTGAAGACAAACTTTCTGTAGAGAGAAATTGATACATTGGTTGAAGTTATATTGCGATCATATTAAATTACATAGGAAATATTTAAACACTTACGATTAAATACTATTTCTAGTGTTTTATCTAGCGGATGGGCAGCGCCCACCGGCCATTTCGATATGCACATCTAAAAAAAGAAACCTGGATAAAAGACTGACTGTTTCCATATTTATTACTATCTGATATGAGTTGTAAAAATATAAGACATGTTTTTAACTTGGAATAAATAGTTTTCTTTTCCTTTTAGATTTTATGTTTTTGAATTGTAAACAAGAATACAAATGCCTGGTATTAGTTTAAACTATGTAATTTATTTCTTTTCTTTATAAACAAATAAAATATTGCATTTCTTATTTTTAATACAGCATAGTTCAATATCAGTTGATCAATCGTCAGCATTTAATCCTCAACGTAATCATTCACCACAACATTATTATTATCAGTCAGCACAACAACACCAACCAACTCATTTCTATCCATATCAATCCCAATTATCATTAACAAATACATCGTCAAATTCTAATGATCAACAACAAAATTCTTCTCAACGGTCACTTCCATTATCAACAGATATAAAAAATGATTCAAATAAAAAAAAATCTGATTGTAAGTTATTTTAATAATCATTTTATCTTGTCTCAAAATTTGATTTTAATCTCTAGGGAATGAAATTGAAATAACTGGAAATGTTAGAACTCTATCACCAACATTATGGACATTATCACAATTAACTTCTTTATATTTAAATGATAATCAATTGTCACGATTACCGTCTGAAATAGCTTGTTTAACAAATCTAGTCACACTTGATATATCAAATAATAAATTGAGAAATCTTCCATCAGAAATCGGTAGGTTTCATTTTATCGAGAAACAAAAAAGGTTATCAAACATCTGATAGAAATACTTTTAGTAGAAAACATAATATTATTTAAGAATCTTATTTTTGATTTGTCCTTTTCATGTTCCATGTAATTCGTATGACTAAAACTGTTTTGGTTCTTGTTTACTTTACGTTAGACACTTTTAGTTTTTTCCTATTTATTTCAATAGATAAATCAGTCATGCATTATACTTTGACATTGCAAGCAATGCTTTTTCCGTGCATAAATTACTGTCATTTTAATTATTTTGATTGATAGGTGAACTGATAACATTACGTGAATTAAATTTAACGAATAATTCTATACGAAATTTACCTTATGAAATCGGTAAATTATTTCGTTTACAGAGTTTAGGTAAAAATTTTCCATTAATTAAAAGATATGAATTTTATATGAAATTCTTTTTTTTCATAGGATTATTGGGAAATCCATTGTCAGCTGAAATTCTTTCAATTTATACGGAATCAAATGGTTTACAAAAATTATTATCATATTTTCTTGATAATTTTTCATCATCACTGAACGGTATAAAACAAAAAGAAAAATTTTCCGATCGTCATAGGAGTTATTTTTTTCTCTGTTCTGTTCCCACATTTATATATTTGCAGAGCATAGGTACTATTATCATGATAATTATGTTATTAATTTTTTTTCACTTATCAATATGGTATTCAACATACGTACTTATTCATGAAAATTAAAAGGTAAAGTAACAGTAGTTTATTAAAACCCTTATATTTTTATATTTATTATCGAACATAGTGCAAATGATGATTGTATAAAGAAAGAAAGAAAAAAAAAATATCTTGACCTCTTACTATTTTTCTTTTACATTCGCTTATTCAATGGTCATTGTTTCGTTGTAAAGGCTTCAATGTTTACACATTTATTTCAAACTGAAAGCTTTCGTTTCGAACAAAGAGAGTGAGTGAGTGAGAGAGAGAGAAAAAAAAAGACGATTAAATTTATTTTATATACAAAATGAATGAAGTTCCCTAAGAAATATTGCTTATTCGAATGTATTAATAAGAAATATGTAATTAGAAAAAAAACAATTTGCCGTTTGTAACTAATAGAAATTATACTCATACACATTTACGTTTCGATCTCTTCAATGTTTTTTAATATTTTTGTAAGTATGCATGAAAATTTTTGCTTTGACAACTATCAATTGTACTGTCGTTATCAAGGTGTACAGTACAAGTTTGTTAGCGTCTCGATTGTTTACATACAGTCATGTGAAAGAGAGGGTGGTAGGACGAAAAAAAAGGAAAAAGTACAAAATTAAAATAAAGTTGTCGATACTTTTTTCTTCATGAAAAATGTTTTATTCTAAAAAAACAAACTAAAATATTTGAATCTATTGTTATTGTTTATTGATGTAAATCTAACTGCGCATAAAATAGTAGTTTCATTCTGTTCATGACAAAAAGAGGTAAAAGTACAATATCACATGATTATAGATAGTTTATAACCGGTATATATTTTTTGAGTAGTACTAGACTACCTTTGCTTAGTTTATAATCGGTATTTATTTTTTAAGTAATACTAAATCACCTTTTTTGTTTTACGTCACTTCTGTCATATTGAGAAAAAAAAATAAATGTAGAAAAAAACCAGGCAATGTTGCTAGGTGTTTAAAAAACGAGACATATTACCATCTGAATGAATATGTGTCATTGTATTTCACGCGCCATTGCCCATAGCCAATCGTAATATATGTACATTTTCATACAAACGTAAAAAAGTAAAAGAAAGAAGAAAAAAAAAAGATGAGTTCTGATTCGAAACGGCGATTGAAGAAAGTTTTTTTTTTATATATGTATATATTCGTTGTTGTTGTTTACAGGTGTACGTGTGAAAACCTTGATCATAATATACAGACAATATTCATATGTTTATGTTTCTTTTTTTTTGTCTTTCTTCGTCATTTATTTTTCGATACTCCCAATGTTCTCTTTTTTTTCTTTCTTTTTTTCTTCTTTTTATCATTATTTAATGATATCATAATGATTAGAAATACGTAGATATACTAGGGTGACGAATAGAAAGAAGGAAACGTGAGTTAATGAAGGTAAAAAAGAATAAGTATAAGTGCTTCTGAATAAGAATTGATGGGATTTGTTAAGTTTTCTAACTAAATTTCTTTTTTTTTCTTCCATCGTTTATTTTCCAGGGTTGAATATGATCGACTATTATTTTGACAAGTGAATATCTTTTGTCATTTCTATTTTTTGCTTTCTAGCATTTGTCTTGTATACTTGAGTCTCATTGAATCATCAAGAGAGCTGTTTTTGTCTTTTTTTTTTCAAAGTTGGCCAATACAATTAGTATCGGCTGAACACATGCATGAGCGTGCAAGCCTTGTTTAGTACTCATCCTCATCGGACCGAAAATAGACGAGTAAAAGAACGAGCACAATCCAGGGACGGTGAACCAGTATATAAGGTTTTTTCTCCTCTCGACGTTTTTTTCCTCTTTCGATGTGTTGAACAGAAAAGAAAAAAAAGAGATTATTTTCCTTCTATTCGTCTTTTTCTATGTTCGATGTTTTAATATAAAGAGAAACATGGTGAGAAAAAAGAGGAAAAAATGGGAAATATAACCGAGATCTTCTTAATATAATTCTTGACATATTTATTTTTTTTTAACTAGAGAAAAAAGTAACAACAATAGATCTCGTATAATAAAAACAAAAATTTTGTTTCTGTGAGAATGAAATGCGCTCAATAAATTAAAAAATTATTAATAAAAATAAATCAAAGAAGAATTTTGTGTTCTAACTGTCTCTCTTGACCTTCATAATTCTGTTTCTCTTCGATATTATTATGAACACAATGATGACGACTGATCATGATCATTACAACGAGACAAGAGTGATGAGAGTGAGTGAGTGAAGCAATTGACCTTCTTCTTTTTTTTTCTTTTTTTTTTTCCTTACACTTATTTCTGATAATAACAGCTAAAGAAAAGAATATAACGAGAAAAATATCTAGTAAATCGAGTTTTTTTTTCTCGTATTGTTGCTCTTGAGCATATTAAGTTCCAGTTGGTTCCATCGTTCTTTTTGTCTTCTTTCGTAAGTCGTAATAGTAAAAGAAAAAGAAGAAAGTCAAGTATACATATGTCGTACTTTAATTTATTCTTTCTTTTTATTTTAGTGAAACAAAATGACGAAATCATCTTTTTGATACTTACTCAATAATCTATTTTTTTACTATTTTTTACCTTTATTCATATACCAAAGAAAGACTTAACTAATGTGTTCAGTTACTGAACCACGTCGTGCTACTGTCTCATGTAAAAATATATTTTCATCATCATCATCAACACCATCACCTAATGATCGTTCTATACCGACATCATCATCGTCATCATCTCGACGACACGCTAATAATAATTCAAATTTAAAACGAAATATTAATACGAATAATAATGTATTTACACGATCATCAAATCATTCAACAAAAAAACAACAACCAAAATTAATCGATGTTACAAATAAAAATCTTTCAAATGCCAATGTCTTTCATATTCCATTTTATGTTGAACAAATCAATGATAATGGAAAAAAAATTTTATCAAACAATAATAATAATAATACTAAATTACTCAGGACACCATTAAATCCACTTTCACCAGCATTCTTTTCTACTCGTCATAAATCATTATTATCAGAACAAAAGCAAGATACTATACCAAGGTATATTAAATTCGAAAAAAAAAATTTAAACATTTTTATAAAATAATTTTATCTTGAAAAAGAATCAAAAAGAGTATTTTCGAAATTGATTTGCTAATTTGAAAAAAATACTATTTTCTTTTGATTAATGTTATGCTATTTTTTGAGTGCATAGTTAATAGATATAATCTAGGTCCGCACGCATGATATTCTTATCTTTACATATGAACATTTGTTATTCAATAAATATTGTTTTTTTTGAATATGTTCTAGTTCTTCAAAAGTTCTTCTGTTATCTGAAACTTCTGATTATGGTAGTGGTACTGATCCTGATCTTCAATCAATACAACATGTATCACCATTAACAGATTCATCAGCATTTACATTTGATTTCGATGAAACATTTTCATGTTCAATAGATGATGCTAATTCTCATGCATCACAAACTCGTCGTATATCATTATCATCTACTTCATCGTCTCCATCATCATCATCTTTAACATCTCCATCATCAAGTATGAGTAATCTTTCATCTTTATCATCATCATCAGAAATTCAAACAAATTTTCTCAATCAAAATCGTTTATCAAATAAAAAATTTTCATCGATAAATAATTATAATAATAATACATCGAATGATATGAATACATGTTATTGTGAAAAAGAAAATCAATCTAATCGTAAACGTAATCGTCTTAATACCTTTCCAATACGACGATATACAACTACGAATTACTGTGAAAATTGTCAAATTAAACGAACGAAATTAAATTCTCGTTCAAAAATTCATTCAAATCGACCACAAAAACCACGTTTGAATAATCGATATTATGATGAAACATTAACACCAATTAAATTTGCTGTTGATTTAACTGGTCTTAATGTAAATTATACAATCGAATATCTTGACAATATAAAATGTTCATGTTCAACAACATTAATACCAAATTATAATCCATGTCGTTGTAAATGTTCATCGATAAATGAATGGCCATCATTTTTAATGATGAATTCATCGTTTAATGAATATAATGATGATGTATATTATATTGATACAAATAATAATCCTTGGATTCCACCACCAATCCCAACAGTATTCAATTATTATGATTTACATTTTACAAAACTTCATGAGAATAATCCTTTATCAATTTATTTTGATGATAATTCTATTATTGAAGCTAGTCCATATTTACCAACTTATTATCTTCGATGTATGCCGCCGCCCATTGAAAGAGAGTGTGAGGAGCATTTAGATAAAAAAAACTAACCCTATGACGATCGGTGTTTTTGTTTGTTTTTTAAAATTTAAAGAAACAGAAAATTAATTTCCTTTATTTTTTTTAGCTATTCAACCACCACCAACACGATCATGGCTTCGTTTAGCATCACCAAATACAACACAACCAACCGCGATATTTACAGTAATGAATTACAATATACTTTGTGATAAATATGCAACTAGACATGTTTATGGCTATTGTCCATCATGGGCATTAAAATGGGATTATCGACGAAAACAAATACTCGATGAATTACGTTCATATGCAGCTGATATTATTGCTTTACAGGTTAGAATATTTGAATCGAGATTTTTTTTTTTCTCTTTTAAAATATGTATATATATATATGAATGAAAAGATAAGTAAATAAGTATTATTCATATGATGAAAATTTGAATATTATTCAAGTATTTTTGTTGATACGACCCGACGTATGTAATCAAGTAAAAATTTCTTTTCTACTTGATTAAATATTTGAGTAATATAACTGAAAATCACCTTGAAGTTGAACTTCTATATTGCGTTTGTTTTATAACTACATTAATAGTAAAGTAAAATAAAAAATTAATAAAATGCTATTTTTACATATTTCTGTTATTATAAAATTAAAAGTCTAGTCAATAGTTGAAAGAATAATTTCAAATTTGTCATGTATTGACTAAAATCAAAATTTTTGTTTTTTTTTCCTATGATTTATATTGACATATTAAAGACGACGTTATAATGATTTTTATTTTAGGAAATCGAAACTGATCAATTTCATTTATACTTTTTACCTGAATTACAAAAAATTGGTTACGATGGTGTGTTCAGTCCAAAATCACGTGCCAAAACTATGTGTGAACAAGATCGTCGATTTGTTGATGGTTGTGCTATTTTTTATCGAACATCAAAGTAAAATATTATGAACAAAATTTTATTTTTATTTACTGATTTTTTTTTTCATAAAGATTTCGTTTAATCAAAGATTATCTTGTTGAATTCAATCAATTAGCAATGTCAGCTGCAAATGGTCCAGCTTGTCATGATATGATGAATCGTGTTATGACTAAAGATAATATTGGTCTTGTTGCTTTTCTTGAAACTAAAGAAGAAATTTATTCTCATACATTTTCCAATGGTAAAAGAGAAAAGAAAAATTGAAATTATTCTTTTATTATTTTTTCTCTAGGTGTTTTACCATCTGAACATAAACAAATGTTATTTGTCTGTACGGCACATATTCATTGGGATCCTGAATATTGTGATGTTAAGGTTGTACAAACATTAATGTTATTATCAGAATTAAAAACTATTATGGAAGATGCTATGCAAAAACATCGACCAAATTCGAATAATACACCAATTGATTGTTCAACAGTGCCATTAGTTCTATGTGGTGATTTTAATTCATTGCCAGATTCAGGTAAATAGATAAGAATAAAAAAATAAGATGAATATTTTCTTTTTTATCAAGGTGTTATTGAATTAATGCGTAACGGAAAAATTTCATTGAATCATGCAGATTTTAAAGATTTACGTTATGAATCCTATTTACAAAAGATTAGTCGTGTTGATGTTAATTCAACACAGAGTACAGATATTGTACATCATTTTAAATTACAATCAGCTTATGAAACAACATCGTCACCAATTATGCCTTATACAAATTATACGTATGTTTAATTAGTTTTTAAAAGAATAAATATTTAATCGAATTGTTATTTTTAGATATGATTTTAAAGGTATTATTGATTATGTATTTTATTCAATACAATTAATGCGTGTACTTGGTGTATTGGGACCACTTGATCCTGAATGGTTACAACAAAATAAAATTCTTGGTTGTCCACATCCAAATGTACCATCGGATCATTTTTCATTACTTGTAGAATTTGAACTTAATCCAATAACGAACGATTTATCAACAACTAATAATTCGAAAACTTCAACGACACCTATTCTTACAAGAAGACAATAAAAAAAAATAATGAATTTATTTCATGCAACAAAACTCTACGGTGAAATCTCAGGGAGGACTTTTATGGTCATCTCGATTTCTATTCTTCTATGTATTTGTGTGTCTGTATTATTCAATGTATTTGTCAGTTTAACTTCTATATATGTACGTCTGTTTTTTCGATTTGTATGTATGTATTACAAATCGTATAAATCGTCTAAATATGTACAGTTATTTTTTTTTCGTTTCGTTTCGTTTTTTTTATACTGACAATTGAGTTTATTTGGCCCGTCATCGATCGTTTTTATCATAAGAAAACGATTAAATTCTTTAATCTCTTTTGATCACACACAATCACAAAAATTTTGTTAATTTGTTTCCTTTTTCTCTTCTTTTTTGTTTCTTGCTTCATCACTGTTGTTTGTTTGTCAATAGCTTTTTTTTTGTCTATTTCTCTTTCTCTCTCTCTATGTGTGTGTGTATATATGACGACAATTTAAGAAAAAGTCGCTTAATATGACAAAAATAAAATAGCGAAAAAAAACTAAGACAAAATAATGTAAATTTTATTTAAGCTGATATAAATCGATCAATAAGATCAAATGCAGCTCTTGGTTGATCAGCAGGTACCATATGACCAGCATTTCGAATCCAAGCAAGAAAAAATGAATTTGCTTGTTTAATATAGCCAGCAACTTCTTTATCATCTTCTTTAACTTTCCATACTTTTCGTTCAGCATTGCGAAGTTCATTCGCATATTTCCATTCAAGTTTATCAACCCAGTCCATTGTTAATGAGGATGCTATAATAATATCAAGTAAACCATTGTAGATTAAAATTTTATAATTATTATTTGCAATGTCAGCAACTTTGCTGACGATTGTTTGCATCATATCATTAGCTAGAGCAATACCAACTACATCACCATCATTATAACGTAGATTTCCAACATGGATTTTAAAGCGATTTTCACTAGCTGTTACCCATGGAATATAATAATTAAATTTTTCTGGCATTTGAGTTAATAAATAATTATAGACATCATGTAATCCTGTTTTTTCAGGAAAAAATACATCCAATAAATTACTAAATAATTCATAAGCTATTAAATACTGTTTTAATTCAATTGCACGTTTTGCTAATGAAGATTGTAAATTAACACGTTCCAATTGTTGTTCATCAATTAAACCAAACTGATAGAATACTGATCCATAATCCCATTGATTATATGGATCGATTAGTCCATCACCAATTGCCATTCCTTTCAAGTTTATTTTTACTTTTGCTTGTGGATTTTCCACATGAATCTTGTGAACAATAGCAGGCACATATTTCCCACCATATGATTCACCTGTTACATAAAATGGACATGGTA